CTTAGACATTAGGAGCCCTCACTTCTGCAAATTTATCCTAAGGACATAGAGATATGGATAAGGTCTATAATAGCATTCTTTGATAAAGAAAATTTTGAAACAAATGAGAGTAAATTATGATAAATTTATGTAATAGAATGATACATTTATATGATAGAGTAGAATAAATTTATGTAATAGAATAGATAAATCTGTGTAATAGAAATAGCACTTATATAATAGAATGTTTTAGGTTAGGGTTTTTCAAATTTTACATCCTCCATGGTGTAAACAAATGAGATACAGTAGGGCCTTTACTTACGAGTTTAATTCTTTCCATGACGGAGCTCATAACTCAAATTACTCGTATGTCAAATCATAAAGTGAACGACTGAGACACGTGATGCTGGGCTGATGTTGTGGCATTCACTGTGATGTTCGCTGCGCCAACTAGCGGTGGGGTATCTGAAGCTGGCTCGTAACCCGAATTTTAGCTCGCAACTCAAAGCAAAAAATCGGCCAAGAGACGGCTCATATCTCGAAAAACTCGTTAGTCGGGACACTCGTAAGTCAAGGCCTCACTGTATATATATATAAATTGAACTTCAAATGGTGGGGGTGGGACAGGAGGTTCCCTGTGGAGTTCTACAAACAAGGCCCTGTCTCCCCTCCCTGACTCACTCCTAGGGCAGCTGCTGAAAGAGGTTCTGAGGCTCTCAGACTATTATTTTTATATTTTACTAGAGGCCCAATGCACAAAATTCATGCAAGAGTAGGCCTTCCTTCCCCCGGCAGCTGCTGGCACCAGCTTCCCTCTAGCACCCAGGACCTGGGCTTCCCTCACAGCCCCGGCTTTGTCCGGAAGGTCATCTGGAAGGATGCCCAGTCTAATTAGCATATTACATTTTTATTATTATAGATCTTTATTGTTGAGAGTTTACAGATGTCCCCCCACCCCCTTATTCCTCCTTGCCCACCCAACCCGGTTCCCACCCAACCTCAGGCTTTCACCACCCTGTTGTCTGTGGGTTATGCATATATGCATATAAGTTCTTTGGTTAATCTTTTCCTGCCCGCCCCCCCCCTACACACACACACACACACACACACACACACTCTGAGATTCATCAGTCTGTTCCATGTTTCCATACTTCTGGTTCTATTTTATTAATCAGTTTATTGTGTTCATTAGATTCCACATATAAATGAGATCATATTTGTCTTTCTCCTACTGGCTTATTTCACTTAGCATAATCATCTTCGATCCCTCTATGCTGTCTCAAAGGGTAATAGATCCTTTCTCTTTTACTGCTGCGTAGTATTCCATTGAGTAAATGTACTACAGGTTTTTTTTAATCCATTCATATACTGATGGACTCTTGGGCTTTTTCTAGATCTTAGCTATTGTAAATGATGCTGCTATGAACATAGGGGTGCATATATTCTTTCTGATTGGTGTTTCAGGATTCTTAGAATATATTCCTAGAAGTGGGATTACTGGGTCAAATAGCAGTTCCATTTTAAATTTTTTGAGGAAACTCCACACTGTTTTCCACAGTGGCTGCACCAGTCTGCATTCCCACTAGCAGTGTACTAAGGTTCCCTTTTCTCTGCATCCTCACCTACACTTACTGTTTGTCGATTTATTGATGTTCCAGTTTTTCCTCTTGGTGCAGGGCTATCCTCCTAATCTGTACTGCTGCTCTCTCCTCACTCCCTTACTGTGTTAGATCCCCTTTCTTTTGCATCCACATTTTCTTTTTTTACTCTTTTGTTTTAATGAAACAAGAGCACATGTGAGATACATTTTTTGAGATTATATGCCTGAAATTGTCTTTATTCTATTCTCATATGATTCATAGTTTGGCTGGGTATAAAATTCACACCCAAACATTATTTTCCAGAATTTTGAGGATAACTTCCACTGTATTCTAACTTTAAATTTTGTTAGTAAGAGAAACATCGATGTAAGAGAGACACATTGATTGGTTGCCTTCCCTCTCAGGCCCCAACCAGGGCTGGGGATTGAACCTGCAACTGAGGTATGTGCCCTTGACTGGGAATCCAACCCTCAACCCTTTGGTCTGTGGGCCCACACTCTAACCACTTAGACAAACTGGCCAGGGCTGTTGTTTTTTTAAATTGATTTGAGAGAGAGAGAGAGAGAGAGAGAGAGAGAGAGAGAGAGAGAGACTGATTGGTTGCCTCCTGAATGCACCAGACCAGGGATGGAACCCGCAACATAGGTATGTGCCCTGACCAGAAATCAAACTCACAACCTTTTGGTGTATGGAAGGATGCTCCAACCAACTGAGTGACCTGGTGAGGGCCCTCCACTGAGTTTTTTAATGGGCTGTTATACCTCCTGGATTGATCCTCTAATTTTCTTCCTCTTTCCTCCTATTTTCCATCTCTTTGACTTTTTGTTTGACTTTCTGGGAAATTTCCTTTATCTTTAAATGCCTTTACTATTTTTTTTTCTGCTGTCATATATATGTTATCATTTCTAAGGGCTGGCTTTAAATTTTTTATTGCATCCTATATTAGTTCACGAATGCAATATCTTCACTTATTCTGAAGAATTATGGTGTCTTTGAAATGTGCTTTTCCATATACCACCTGTATTTTCGTTGAAGTCCTCTTTATCTGTTTACTTGTTTTGGTCTTTCTTTCATGTTGGCACTTTTTTCTGATGTCTGTGCCCATTACTCTCTGTGCTTGGGCGCTGCTTATTATTGAGTGTACTTCGCTTTAGGACTGTTGCATGGATGACTAGCTGGCTTATTCTTTTGGAATCCGTAGGCTTGATTTGTTTCTTCAAAGAAACCTCTTCCAATCTCCTGCCTAGAGTCAGAGGGGGAGAAACCTGGGTGCCAGGGTCTTGGAGTTAGCTGGAAAGGGCAACTGCTAACGCCCATTGATAATCATACAGTCCATAGAAAATCATACAGTCACTAGTTGTCTAAACAGGCTATTGTCTAAACAGGCTATTGCCACACACCCACCTCTGTGCCTAGCATTCCCATGTCCAGGGCCTCTCTGGTTCAGTGTCTCAAGGGAACAGAAATATTGCCCCCTGTGGAGACCTAGCTGTAAAAGTTCAGAATGAAGACAACTTGAGGGTCTAGCTGAAGTTTACATGCAGATTTTCAACCAACCCCTCTCTTTTCATGCTCCCACCTTAATCTCACCTTTCTTAATACCTGGTTCCTCCAATTACTGATTCTTTCTGATGTTGCTTGGGTGCTCAGATTTGACCTACATCCACTCCACTAGATGATTGAGATTCCTCCATCTGTTTCTGTCTTCATGTGTTATGATTTGGGATTATAGATACATCCTAGTTTTATTGAAAATAGTGACAGAGCTTTTGTTTTTTGTATTCTTTGCTTTTGGAGTGCTGTTGAGAGAAGGGGAAGAAATGTCTTCACACCACCATTTAAATCCCTAAGTCTCTGCCTTGGTTTTTAATATAACTGTAATTATATTTTTGGTTTCCTGTATCCTCCAAATATTCTGCAATGAACACATATTACTTTAATAATAAAAAAGCACACACACACACACACATATTCTCTCTCACACACACACTCACACAACGTTATTGAAGGCCTGGGACACTAGACCCTGCATCTTCCTTCTTCTCTTGCTGAGCCAGCTGGGCTCCTGAAGCCCCCTTATCTTTCACACCTCAGCTTCCTGACACCATGCAGCCACCTATGAGGCTTCAAGCATCTGCCAAAGAGTACCACACCCTCCTTGTCAAGGAGCACAATCTTGGTTTCCTCATCTCTGAGCCAGGGCTGGTTATGGAGTAGCCATATCAACCATGCATGATGTGGATCCCTTCATGCATTCTGAATGGTCATGCCTTCAAAACCACAACAGTTTTTATAAAAACATAATTCAGAGAGAGAGAGAGAGAGAGAGAGAGAGAGAGAGAGAGAGAGGCATTTTGCCATGGCATCTATTGATTTCTTCCCAATGGTGCCATTGCAGTCAACAGGGGGTGGGCATTATCTGGGATTTTTCCATGACTACTTCCTACAGACCAATATACTCCCTCCACTTGGACATACATGAGTGGCCCTTGGGAAGCCGGCACACGGCTTTCAAACATGATTGAACTTTACTGGCTCTACCAGATCCGAGGGAAATCAAGATCCTAAGATCTAACCACTAACACCCCCCCGCCTCCCCTCCCCCCTTGCCAGGCCTCCACAAGTTCTGGACTCATGAGGCTAACAAGAACCTAGTGAGAAATCCCAAAACTGCAGAAATACTCCTTGTCCTTGAGCTCTCTGACAGGCTCCACCCTGGCCTGAGGACGTTGCTGTTTCAGTTGTCCTGGTAAGCACAGGGATTCCAGGACATGGGTCCAGCAATGCTCTTTTCTTCCTCCTCTACCACTAGGATCACAGCCTTTACAGACTGACCTACAAGTAGGTTTTGCTGGGAATCCTATGAGAATTGATCCAGCTAATTACTAGTGAGGAAATTGCTCTCTAAATTTAACATGACCATCATTCTCATCCAAAAGAGCAGCATTGCTGTGGTGGGCTGAGACTTTGAGGTGACTTGTATTTAACCCAGCAAAAACTGCATGGGGCTTCACAGGTTTACTCATTTACACCTCACAGCTTTACTCATTTCTCAGTCAACTTTGATTTTATTAAACTCAGCATTGTAAAAACCTCATAAAATAACCCTCATCAATTCTCCCCTGCTGGACTCACACATTCCCGCTCTGGAAGAGCTGCTAAGAGAACAGGCAGAAATTTCTCCTGTCGTGTTGCCACTGGCATACCTTGTGTTCCCACTTGTGGATTTGTTTATCCCTACTCTCTTTTCCAAAAAGAGACATGTGTGATTGTACTCACAAATGGAAAGATATCCTCTATTAAAGTCAAACTCTACTTGGGCCATTTCCTCCACCCTGAGCAGCCATCTGTCACCCCAGCGTGCCACTCTGACTAGACCATCCCAAGAAGGAGCCCACACACATATGCACGAAGACATAGTTCCATTTGGAGACTGGATATCATCTTTAATAATAATGCCACAGCCCAGCATCCTTTCTGTTGCTGTAGCAGGTTGTGATCGTGTGTGTGTGTGTGTGTGTGTGTATGTATGTGTGTGTGTGTGCGTGTGTGTGTGTGTTCCTGAACAGATGAGGGGCCAGCAGCTCCCAAGCAGGTCTCAGCCAACAGCTCTTCTGAGCAGCGACTGGAAGACAGTCTCCATAGCGGCACGGAGGCTGGGCTCCTGCCTCCTTTCCTCCTGGGCCACCTCCCGTGCATTCGGAGGACAAGGCTGAGGTCTGGGCCAGCCCAGATTAAAGGGCTTCTCAGCAAACACGAGTCTTCAGTCCTCAGTCCTCACTGCCTCTGACCACAGGTATGTGTCTGGGCAAAGTACACACTGCTAGGCACAGGTGGACAACCTGGGCCAGCCGTGGTCCCTCTGTCACACTGTGGCAGCACCACCATGGCCCAGCCCTGAGCAGAAAATCCAGAGCTTCTGAGGCCATTGGATTAATTCCTTTCAGAGATAATCAGGTTGTAGCCCAGGCCCTTTCTGGGGCCAGCCAGAGAGGGACAGACTCAGCCCATGATGGCTACACAGCTGTCATTTCCAACCCCAACCTAAGAGCCTGCCCTCCTGCCATCTCTACTCTCCAGTTCCTCACATGCCCACTAGGTCCACAACCCAGACATGGCAGGGGAGGTTAGCATGATGGTGAGTCGAAAGGCGGCCATGAGAGACCTGGGCTGAGCTGGAACTGCAGCCATGTGCCAGCCAGAAGCCAGCCCTCTCTCCCATGGTCACTGCCAGCCAGAGCTCTCTGAAGCCGGATGGGACCCCCACAGGGCAAGGCAGCAAGTTCTTGGCCTGGTGCAGAAGGAGAAAACCAAACTGGCTCCACAGTCCCATCTCCACCTGCTCTGTGCCTTAGGAAGGCAAGGAGCCCAAGTCCCCAAGACAGTGGTATCAGCTGTTGGGGAAGCACCGTTGTCCAGGAGAGGCCTCGGGCCGGAAGCTGTGTTTGATCAGTGGGCTGGGGTAGTAGGTAGTTGTGTACACATTGGTCTGCTGCAATGGGTAGAAGCTGGCTTTGTCATCAGGAATCAGATTATTCTTGTTCAGGGTCTGTGGGAGAAGGAAGGAACAAAAAAGGGGGTAAGGGATAGACAGGGAAAGCAGACAGCCAGGTTAAGGAGATCAGGAGCCAGTCAATGAAAGGACATTCTAACTGCTGATGTAGTATCCTGTTCACAACACCTTCCCAAGTGCCCAGCCCAGTAAGCCCACCTTAGAGCCAGAACCATTGCACCCATCACCCTGCCCTCTGCTTCTATAGGAGGGCTCTCACCTTGAACTCCATAGGTGTGTACTTCTCATTCTTAGGGGTGCCCCCACCCTTGTAGTGCAGGTGGTTTGGTGTGGCAGGATGGACGAGTGTGGACTCCTGGGACTGGCGCTGGCAGTGCTGGCAGGACAGGTACACGGCCAAGGTCAGCAGCCCAGAGCCCAGGAAGCAGGAGACACCCGTGGCTACCAGGTGGATGAGACTGAACCCTGGGAAAGGGAGAGGTTAAGTGGTAAGGAAAGGGCCACTGTGCAGCGGAGAGCCTCCCAGCTGCCTCCCAATAGGAGGCTCAGAGACATAAAGGAAGAGCTTTGAGCCAGAGCCAATGGAAACAGGCAGGCTGGGCAGCCCCTCACCGGGGCGCTCCCACAGGACCACCTAGGGCCTGGGTCAGAGGCAAGCAGAGGATGTGGAGTTGGGTACTTGTGACTTGTTGAGTACAGACTTGATGACTGCCTCCTAGATGGGGGGCATGGATGAAACTGCCCAGAGCCCCCTCCACATGGTCTGAAGCAGTGGGGAACCTCCACAAGGTTTGACTATCTGGAGTGGGAGGTGGAGAGATTCTAATTTCAAAGTAAGGTGGGCCTCCTCCTGGAAGAGGAGGGTAGGGGACAGTGTTATAAAGGTGTGGGGGGCAGGTTCCTTTTACCTTCACAGCCGGTGGCCTCCTCCACACTGGAGGCAGGCAAGATCACTGCAGGAAGACAAGCAAAGAGGGTGTTGGGGCGGAAGGGGGCAAGAGGGGTCCCCCTGGGTCAGCACTGAGCTGTGGGATAGGCCTGGGGCTACCTGCCTCCCACCCTGATGTTCTATCCTGCACCCCCACCCCCCAGGGCACATGCTTCAGAAAGGGAAGGAAGCTGGGGCTCAGTGGGAAATGGTGGTGAGAAGGGGCTGGCTGGAAGACCTACCGGGAATCTCGCTGTAAGGGCAGGGGCGGCTCTGGCTGCTGTTGCCAGCACAGGTGCTGGGCCCTGGGACCAGGTCCTCACAGTGCCGACTGCGGGCTTGGACTCCATCCTCAGTGCATGCGCTCCACTCGGACCACAGTGACCAGCCTTCTGTGGGTTGTGGGTTGGGACGAGGTTAACTGCCCCAGCACCCTCTGGTGGGGACTGGAGGGCTCCGTGGTGCTCCCCAGCCCAGGCCGGGCGTACTCAGTACCTGGGCAGGCCTGCGTGGCACACAGTGCCTCCTCCGTGTGCAGCCCCAGGCAGATGTCCTCGCCTGGGGAGGGCGCGGGACTGGTGCAGGACCGTGTGCGTTGATAGTGGCCACCACCGCAGGAGGCTGAGCAGGGGGACCAGGAGGTCCAGCAGGACCAGGCGCCCCGCACTACAAGGGGATAGGGTGTGTGAGGGGAGCTGCAGGTGCAGGCAGGACCCCGAGGCAGTCTTCTGCCCCTTCCCAGGCAAGGCCACTTCTGCCCTGGGCCACACAGACCTCAACACCCGCTCCACCCGACTCCCACAGCTCACTGCGGGAGAGGCCCCTCCCTGTCAGGGGTGGCAGGGGAAAGGCAGGCTGCAGAAGAGTCATCAAAAACCAACTCAAAACAAGCTCCTTATCAGGCTAACCCACTAGAGGAGAGAAAAAGAAGTGACAGGAAGGTGAGGAAAGCTCTGCTCTGTGGGAGTGGCTGCTGAGTCCTTGCTCAGGACTATTGCTCTGGGGCCCCTGTACAGAGAAGGCAGGGAGAAGAGGTCACCCGAGCATGAGCTGTGGCCTGGAGTCTCCTCGATGGGGGTTCCCTGGGTGGAGTTTTCCCAGGATTACTTAGCACAGGGTTACCTGGACAAGCCTGGGGGTTGCAGTCCTGGTACTCGGTGGCGTCCCCCACGCAGGGCAGGCCCCCGTTGCGGGGCTCGGGGTTTGTGCAGGTCCTCTTGCGGACGTGGAAGCCCAGCTCGCAGTCCCGGGAGCAGGACGACCAGGGGCCCCAGGAGGCCCAGCCCCCGCTCACCACGTGCTGGGCGGTGCCCCCGCTGCGCAGGAGATCCTCCACCAGGGCTGAGGGTGGAGGGACTGGTTCAGCAACAGGGGCTTCTTCCGAACCAACCGAGCCACCCAAAGCTCCGCCCCGGCTCCCAGCCTCGCCCGCCCCAGGCCACGCCCCCGACCCCTCCCCCTCGCTCTGCGCTGGGAAAGCAGGGAGGCGGGTGGGGAGGGTGGAACGGGGGCGAGGGGCTGTACCGTCTGTGTCACAGGTTCCCGAGCTGTCTGCGGGGCAGGTTCGGGTCTCCGTCCTCCTCCTGCCAAACTGCAGGCCGTGGGGGTCGGGCAGGGGCGCGCGGCACGTGAAGCGGAATCGCTGCTCCTGCCGCGCCCCGCCCTGGGTCACGTTCACGGGCAGCCACGGTGTCCAGGGCGTGTTGCGCCGCACTTCCGGGCAGCCCTCCGGGTTGCAGGTCTTGAATTCCTTGGGGACAGGAGCTGGGGCTGTTTCATAGCCTTGCAGCCCCCAGGCCTGCCCCGCGGTCCCGCCCGGCCCACCCTCCTGTAGGTCACAGATTCCGAGTCCAGCCCGGCCCTCACCACGCCGCAGCCGGGGCAGGAGTTGCCATTCTCGCAGGCCCGACGCCGCGACTGCACGCCGCCCCCACAGTTGCTGCTACACTTGCTCCAGGAGCCCCAGGATGCCCAGAAGATGGGTACTGGGCAGGGCGTGTTCTCGTTACAGAACCTGAGGGGCATGAAGGGCGGGGGTCAGCCCTCTGGGGAGCAAGCGCCCCCTTCCCTAGTAAGAGGCGCTGGGAGTGCCAACTAGGAAGGACGACAGTCCACTGGATCACCTGGAAAACCCCAGCCACTTTCCACGAGGCCACCCCCCAGGCACAGGCACAGACTAGCTCACCGTTCCTCCCGGCTCTTGCCCACGCAGATGCGGCCCCCGTGGCGGGGAGCAGGGTTGCTGCAACTTCGCTGGCGGACCTGGAATCCTATCCCACAGGACGTGCTGCACAGGGCCCACGACGACCACGTGGTCCACGCCCCGTTCCTGGCGGGGTCAGAGGAGACAGAGACAGATGACATCTGAGCCCCAGCTTCTCTGATCTAGTCTACATCTGGGCAGATAGACTTGTTGTTGTCAGGAAGTGCCAGACAGTTACTCATCCATCCATCCATCCATCCGTCCATCCATCCTCAAACATGTGTTGAGAGCCTTCTTGCATATATCAGACTGTGCTCAGGGCTAAGGGTACAGAGATAGGACGTGGGCTCTACTCACAGGGACAAAAGGACACATTCTCTAGAAACGGCCCCTATCGCCTTTCCAATCTGCAACCTTTGTTTCAGGCTTCTTGGTTAGCCTATTCTTGCACTCAGACCCATGTTCCCTCTCCTGCTCTACCCCCTCAAGTGCTTTGCTCCAACCGTAGACACCACTCACTCCTGTCTACTTTGACTCCAATTTTCAAATGTTGGCTCTACCACTTACTAGCTGTATAAGCCTGGGCAAGTGACTAAAACCTTCCGTGTGCCTCATCATACACTTATCTTTAAAGTAAGGATAATGATTGTATGCCTACCACCATCAGGTTCTTGCGACAGTTAAATTAATAAATGTATACAGAATTAAGTTATTTTACGAGTGTCCAGAATTGGGGGTTACTTGTGATAACCACTTTATGAGGCTCCCAAGTACTAGGCAGTGTGCAGGCACTTTATACCCATCACCTCCTGTAACCCTCTCAACAACCCTTGGGGTGGGAGTGTTGGCCCCACTTAGAGAAGCTCAGAGTGGTTAGGTGGCTTGGCCAAGGCCACACCTCCAGGCAGTGGCAATCCAGGACTGGCACCAGGCCTGCCTGCCTTTCCACCATGCCATGCTGCCCCTCATGTCTGGGACAGTAAGGCTTATTAAGGCTCAGGCCTGTCCAGGGGTGACTCCCAAGTCTGTCCAGCCTTCGTCTTTGTATCAAGAGTTCTCACAAGGCAGAACTTCTTTTCCCACTGAAGTGGAAGCTCCCCCAATGCTCATGTTTCCTGCCTCAGACTTTAGCTACCTGTCCAGTTGCCTGGAAAACGCTGATGTGGTTTCCACCCTTTAGCTCAAACATCTGGCTAGGGATGCCCCACTCCAGGTTAAGACAGTAGCCATGCAAACCCTGTATCCACACATACCTGGAGCAGTTGGCAATGTGGATGGCTGGCCCCAGGCAGTCTCGGCCCCCACAGCGGGGTTGAGGGGTATCACAGGCTCGGGCCCGACACAAGCAAGACCCTGAGTTGTCCCCATCTAAGTGCTCACACGGTTGCCACGGTGACCACGGGCCGAAGCCCCCGTCCTGAGTCACATTCCGCACCTGCAGACACACATCAGAGGCGGGGGTCCAGTCACAGAAGGCAGGGGTAGGGAAGTCAGGAGGTCCTAGGGGGTGTGGGGATTCTGCTGGGGAGTCACAGCCTGAAATGGGGGGACATGTCCTAGGTGAGGGGGGGGGGCGCGAAGGGGTTCTCACAGGACACGCTGTGATGTTCTGGGTCCAGAGGCTCATGTTGGAGCTGTCCTCGAGGGTGCTGCAACGTTGCTGCTTCCCGTCCCAGCCGCAGTACGGATCCCGCGCCCCCAGGCATGCCCTGCCAGACAGAGGCCCCGAGACTCAAGCCCACTGGCCTCCCAGCCTCGCTGCATCCCAAGAATACACCTGGCCACGCCCCTCTGGGCACCCCTGTCCATCCAATTCCCCTCCACAATGGCAAGTTCATTGAACACTTACTGTTTGCCAGGCATCACTTTAAGTGGTTTACAAGCATGTAAGAATGCAATACAACAACCCAATAATGAAGGCACTGTTATTATCCTCCTGGAGTCTGCAGAGGGACTTTCCATTGGCCAGTGGGGCCAGGGTTGTCAAGGGCTAAAGGGCTATACTAAAGAGTCAAGGGGTTGCCCCTGTTGGTGTCTCCTTGAAGATTCAGGGAGAGTCACCTGTCAGGCGAGTTCTTTATTTTTAGTGAATTCAATAGACCGTGCCTCCAGACCAGGCTCCAGAGAGAAAAGAGGTTTTATGAGAGGCCTTACAGAGAAGAGGGTGAGGCTTCCCTTGTCAGCAGCGGAGGTCAAAGAAGATAATGCTGTCCCTTCCTCCAGCAACCCTTGACCTTGCATAAGGGAGGTGGGGCTTGGGGCTTTAGTGGGTAAGGGCCTTGCGGGAGCCCAGGAAGCATACTCTGGCCCACCTGGGAATGCAGAACACTCATCTGTTGCTCTAGAATCTGTTTTCACTTTATTCACTCAAGCACAATTTGTGTAAATTGTACAGTATAAATACACTCATATTTTCATTTAGGATCAATGGTTTGATTGGGGGGTGTTTTGCCAGCAGAATGCATCAAATTAGACATTATGGGACTAAATACATGTGTAAGCATAGCCCCAGCAACCTGTGGTTTTCAGATTCTGCTCACGTGCTGACATTTGGACCAAATTGGCAGCTAGCAAATTCAACCAGTTAGAATTCAATAAAGCCCACTCCTGAGCGCATTTCCCCCAGCTCTCTGAAAGGGATACCAAACTCTGGGTAGCCAGTTCTAGAACAGTGGTTTCCAGTCTTAACTGCAAATTAAAATCTCCTGGGAATCTTTTAAAAACCTTAAGCAAGCAAACAAACAAAACCCTGCCTTTACCTGGGCCTTTGGACTGGAGTAAGCCCAGGCCCTGGGATCTTTTAAATATTCCCCAGGTGATTCTAGTGAATAGCATGGCTGAGAACCACTGTTTCGGGGCCACTTTTGTCAACATTCCAAAGCCCAGACATAAAGTACCCTGTCTCTCCAACCCATCACGGAACAAGAAAGGAGCGAAGAAAAACCTGAGTAGATGCTAGCCCCAGCCCCACCTCCTTACCCCCCTGCACCCCACCCCTCCCCCCTGTCTTAAGAATCCCTCTCCCTCTCTGCCTCTCCTATTCCAAGGACACTCCTGCCCTGGTCCATCTGGCCCTGGTCCTGATGCCTGGGGAGACTGCCAGGCTATGCTGGCGCCAATACCTGAGCTCTCTCCTCTACATTCACT